AACCTGCGAAACCAGAAAATCCCAACTGTCCTAAAATCACCAAAACTTCAAAAATCGACTGATTAAATCCAAACCAGTTCCAATAGAATAACCCACTCATCACCCGACCAAACTACACCATCTGTTCCAAATTCTAACCGATAAAACTCAGTTCCTACCGATTAAACCAACTTCGACCTAGGAATGGAAAACGTAGAAAACAATCCAACAAATCCAATCTAGCACATACATGATCACATACATTATTAAGATGATAAAACTTCTCACCCTTACCTGATTAATCGCAAGCTAAGGTTGATTCTTGATGATTCTAGGTTTCCTCTTCTTTTCTCTTCTCCGCTTTTTTTTTTCTTTTTTTTTCTTACTATCTTTCTCTTTTCTCTCATATACTCATATTCTATTTTCTTTCCTCTCAAATTCTTTCCACACACTTACCAAATTAATTCTCACAAAATATTCCAACTTAACATTACTACTAATGTCTAAAATACCCTCCAACTTATTTTTACCCGAAACTCACAAAGTCGACAAAAATAGCATAACATATTAACACATAAATTCCACATTAAAATAATAGTCATCCAATTAAATCAAAAAGGACTCAATAAAACGGGAATGATCGAAATCGAGGCGTTACATTTGGGAGAATGCATTATTCTCTGCAGTTGGTTCTGATGTTCGTGGGGAGTGTGCTTGTTTTTGTTTGGTTCTATTGTAAGAACTTGCAAGAGTTCATGTGCATTTTTCTTGTGATTTTGGTTTTCCCCTTCAGGGGAAGTACTGGTTATGTTTGATAGGGGGAGCTGTGTACATGTCTGATCTGTACATGCAAAGATGCGGTTTGTACAGAGCTTACATGTTCTCATGTAGCTTGTATTGTTTTGTTTTATCTGTGATGTCAGACTAGATGTCATGATATTGTGCTGTCAGATGTGCTATATTATTTTGACAACATTATGCCTCTGATGTGTGCTAATGTTGTTTTAGCCAACATTTTACGAAGGGGGAGATTGTAAGTTCTGTAATTTATGGATTGGATACATTTTGGTAAAACAACATGTTGTTAGCAAGATGTTACACCAGATGTTCTGTCATGATAGTCAGACATTATGTCCAACATGATGTTGTGACATGTTCCAAGACATGTTATACCAGAAAGTTAGGACATGACTATTTTGGTATTTTTAGTGTGATTTTTTAGTGTGTTCTGATTCACACATGTGCATTTTTCATGGGAGAATTATGTGGGAATTTTAGGTCAAAATTGGTAAAATCGATAGAAACCGATGTTTTTACGGTTAGAATTCGAAATAAATTGCGTAGTTTAGTCGAGGAGTGTTAGGCCGAGACTATTGAAACTTTTTTGATTGGATTCAGGTGATTTTGTGACTTTTGATGTTTTTGGATGATTGAGGGTTTGAGTAGCGACGCGTACGCTAGGAGAATCACTGGCGAGTGAGGTAGCGAAGGGTTCGCTAAGCGAGCACCTAGCGAGCTGCTAGCGAACACTCTTAGACTTGGGCAGAACCCAAAAGACCCAAACTCGTTGGAGCAAGTGGAGTAGCGAAGGGCTCACCATTCTGCTCGCCTAGCGAGCATGACAGTACAACATTTTATTTTTCTTTTCCAATCCAACGTCGATTCTTCTACTCGGATGTTGATCAATCTTATTCCGAATCTGTAGCCTGTGTGTTGTTATATGATATGTTGTGGGTAGCCGTATGGTGTGAATCCTAGATTGTGGAATTTATTGTGAATTGTGGCCTTTTGGCAAATGAATGCATTTCTTAAATTAAATGTAAATGCATGATAATTGTGATAGAGTTCATTGCCGTTTGACGTAATTGAATGCGAATGTATATGGATTGTATGTGATAGAATGAGATGAATGCATGAATATATATATTGTGAATATGTATGCATTTCAAGAGTGTTTTGAGTCATTTTGCATGTGAAGTATAATGATGTGCATTCTTGTGTTGTGGGATTCTAATGAGAATCTGTTGTAACATCGTGTGCCTATGTGAGGTGTGAGCGATGATTACAAACGATTGTGTGCCTATGTGAGGTGTGAGCAATCGGATTGTATGCCTATGTGAGGTGTGAGCAATCCATAAACATTGTGTGCCTATGTGAGGTGTGAGCAATGGGTGAACAACGTGTGCCTATGTGAGGTGTGAGCGATGGTTCCAATAAGTTCCTAAGTGAACTTGAGATGATTGAGTCGGTACCGCATTGCATTTGCATAGAGCCGCGAGTCGGTCTCTATGATTTGCATTTATCATCTTTATAATTGTGCATTGGTGAATAAACATAAATGTGTATGTTTATGTGGAACGATGAGAATTATGAAAGTATGCATGATGAATATGTTTGGTTATATATATATATATATATATATATATATATATATATATATATATATATATATATATATATATATATATATATATATATATATATATATATATATATATATATATATATATATATATATATATATATATATATATATATATATATATATATATATATATATATATACATTGTGATGTATATGAGTGAGTTGTGATGAATTATGGTGAGAATGCAGAATATGTGTATTTATATGCTAAGATATATAATTATATGCATTATTATTATGATAATATTTCCCACCCTTCTGCTGTTTTATGATGTTCTATGAGGCATTGCAGAGAAGGTTTGCTGGAGGTTCTTGTGAAGCGTGTCTTCATTCTTTTGGTCGATCGGCTCTGATATGTAGCACCGAGTAGCTAGGATGTTTATGATTGTTTTGTGATACATTTGTAATGTATCTTGTTGTTGGATGTTTATGTAAACATGACTTTGTTGTGGAATTGTATTGGATGACATATATATATATATATATATATATATATATATATATATATATATATATATATATATATATATATATATATATATATGTGTGTGTGTGTGTGTGTGTGTGTGTGTGTGTGTGTGTGTGTGTGTGTGTGTGTGTGTGTGTGTGTGTGTGTGTGTGTGTGTGTGTGTGTGTGTGTGTGTGTGTGTGTGTGTGTGTGTGTGTGTGTGTGTGTGTGTGTGTGTGTGTGTGTGTGTGTGTGTGTGTGTGTGTGTGTGTGTGTGTGTGTGTGTGTGTGTGTGTGTGTGTGTGTGTGTGTGTGTGTGTGTGTGTGTGTGTGTGTGTGTGTGTGTGTGTGTGTGTGTGTGTGTGTGTGTGTGTGTGTGTGTGTGTGTGTGTGTGTGTGTGTGTGTGTGTGTGTGTGTGTGTGTGTGTGTGTGTGTGTGTGTGTGTGTGTGTGTGTGTGTGTGTGTGTTTGATGTTATCAATGTTTAGATTTTCCGCTTTTATTCTAAATATTGAGATGTGGGTGCAAGGACTAAGTTCCTCTGTTGCATAGTTACCCCACTGTTGCATATTTTTTGTTGAACAGGTGATGTATGTTTTAATTTCAAGCGTAATGTGACACGCCTCTTTTATACTATGTTTATAATTATACTCTGATGAAATTTTTAATATGTGGCTAATTGATTATATGATTATTTGAGGGTATAGAAAGGGGGGTTACAAGACACACACCAATGACCCCTTCCTCACATCCGAACTACTCTGACATGGGTCACACGCTCAGTTTCAACACACATGACCTAATGGAAATGCAAGAAATCCTTTGGGAAGCATCTGAGAATGTTCCTGAGACTTCAACTCCTCAAACACCTGGCGTGAATCAACAACGAGGGGGATGAGCGCAACAAGTTAGGGTGCCTAGGGGATGTGGAACCGGTGGCCGGTATGACCAACCTAGTCGCCAATATTAATTTATGTAATACTTTTTTTAATTAATGATAATATTTATTTTCCCCTCTGACTTAGTTTATATAATAATTTTTCAAAAAGTAAATAATTATTTTTGATAATATTCATAATGTCAACTATTTTATTAATTATTTTTATAATTATTTATTTTTCGTAAAAAAAATTCAAAATATAAGGGATCTTTAGATGAATTGGCGACACCTTTTAATGTACATAACCAAGTCGCCAATTGGATTGCAGACTGTATGAGGTGTCTCCAGACCAATTGGCGTCATCCTTATGGCCTTAACAAAGGGTCGCCAATTGGATTGACACCCTTGTGTAAGCCCCGACCCTAACTGAAATACTTTGAGAATATTTTTAAAATTAGGAGTATTTTGGGAATTTTTTTCAAAATTGAATTATTTTGAAAAAAAATTCCATACAAGCATATCTTTTTTTCTTTTAAATAAAATGTATTTTTAATTTGTAATTAGTTGAAATCGTATTTTAAAATATAATTCATTACAAATCAATAATAAGACAAAGTTATCAACCATATTTATTATAAAAAAATGTCTTAACATAACTAAAACTAAAAGAAAAACAAATAAAAATTAGTTTACAGCCGCGCACGCACGATTTTTATTTATGATGCTTAAGGAGGATTTTTACGAATTAATTAACTTATGTCAACAAAAAAAGAATCTTGATATACAACAAAATTTTTGCAGTGGAGCATAATCTAATAAAAGCAAAATAACTTTGAACCCAATTCCTGTAAAAGAAATAGAGGCCATTAAAAACGTGAAGTGGTGTGGAAGATATGATCAACAAGAATTAGAGGCCGTCTAATAATTTGCGTTGGAATAACGCTTAATTCTCTTTCAATTTAAATGCATGGATTCTGTTTTCTGTGTATTTATACAGTTTTTCATATGGACCTTACCAACCTAAGAGTGCAAAGCAAACAAGAATAGAGTTAGAAGTTAGAAGTTACTTTGAATTAGGTATGTTCTACTTCAAGTCTCCATATTTGTTATCATGTAAACTATTTGTAATAAATATATATATGTAGAAGGGAGATCTAGCATGTTTCTTCCTTGCAAGTGATGTTTTATTAGGTAAGATATTTGATAGGACTGCAATATTGTTAATTCTTATTTAACGAATTTGTGTTGCAGGTACAATATAATTTGGCATGGGAAATGGTCTCAACGGTGCTAGTCTCATCAGCAACGACACAGATTATCCATGTCGGGTGCAACTAGGTAGATATGCATTCATCGATGTGACAGAAGTAGACTACAAAGAATGGTACAATGATGAAAAACTTTCCAACGAGAGAAAGATGATATACGCCTTAGGTGCGTCGTCAATATGTGAACTCCTGTTTGAGAGAAATTATCCCATCAAAAATAATAAAAAGGCTATATTATCTGTCCATGATGCAGACAAAGGTGCCGGGTCCAGTTGCGAAATTAGAATTACAATAAGAAAAACTGATACGGGAAATCTTGAGCCACCTGCTATTTCATTACACGTTATTAAAGATATAAGAGGAGAGATGTCAATTTTCCATTGGGATCCGGCTTCTAACAGAATCATCGATGTATGGGGAGGTGTCACGGAATTGAATACCTTTCTCTACGGTAAAGGAAGGAGGGCAAGTCTTGTGGTTATAGAATCTAAGAAAAAAAGTATAACTGATCCAAACCCCTACATGGTGACTGTGAATCACTATTTAGCTGTTGATGACGAAGATTTTTTCAATCCAAAAATGGATATTGGCCTTTCTGTGGTTGTCAAGATTCAAGTATCAAATGATTTTGGATTGAAATATACTGTAGAGGGCCCAGAAAGACACCCTAGTTCATCATTATTTTACATGTTTGATCAAGTAAGAAAACATAGTGGGGCATGGAAGCCTAGTTGGTGTCCTCATTGTGCAAATCTTCAGAAGCAGCGTAAATCCTTTATGACGTCTGAAAGTGAAGACAACGATTCTTTTCCACCACGACATGGTAATGGTTATAAGCAGAAGTCAGAAAGTATGGTTGCCAACGAGTCTCGCGTTAAGGGAAATTATAATGGTAGTTTATTTACGAAGTATTTTCATTTTTATAAAAGATGAAAGGCTTAAATGTATTTTTGATTCCTAAGTCAATAAGTTTTTTATTGTATTTTATGTAATTTTTTAGTTTATTTAAGTCAATAAGTTTTTGTATGTATCATAATATGTGTTAAGATTTCCACGTTAGATAATATATGATTTTAAATGTGAGAAGGTGTGTTATTGAAATAGAGTGCTTCTTCTGCAATTTAGGAATAAATTCATTAGTTTAAGATCTCTAACTAACTCCTAACTGCCTCTTTCTATTTATAAAAAACATTCATGCTAAGTCACTAACTAACTTCATCCTAAGTCGGTAACTCCTTTTTCTAATTCTCTATAAAAAAACTAGTTGTTACATAACGCTACAATAACCCCTGAAAAAAATTGATAAAGAAGTGTTTAACAATGGATTGAACTGTCACAAATTGTTCTTGGAGGTGGTGAGTAACCATTTGCATGATGATTTTAAATTCCGACGTGGAATAGCCTCGTGTTACACCAGTTTAGGTTTGTTGTACCATTGTCACATTATGAATCCAAGAACTTTCACAAAGAACATAATCCTCATAAAAAGTACCAAGAGCACTCAGCCCAAAGAATCAGGTAAAAAACTATATGGTTAAACCAGTGAATAGGGTTCTTAAGATAATTAGAAAAAATACATGAATATATTGAAAGTCCTATCAAGATCTAATTTCGAAATTGAGAAGATGTTTTTATTTTTCAAATCCTCCATATTTATAGGCATTACCAAAAAAAATAATTATGTGACTTTTAGATAAACAACACAACTGAATACCAAATCACAGTGAGGTCCTCTATAATCATAGAAAACATCCCAAAGAAGAAAAAAAATAAAGTTAATGGAAGACATCTACGAAGGACAAAAAAAATCTTAATATAACTAACAATCATATACCACAAATATGTCACCACGTCCCAACTAACAATCATGTGAGAGATGAGTCTAGGGGTCCACGACATAAGCCACGAGTAAGACTGTCAAGATAATGTTCTAACGAAAACGTAAAAACATCATAATTTTCTTAAACTTTCATGAAATTAAACAAATAAATAATAAAAATTTATTTATTATATCTCACAAACACAATGTTATGATGAAAGTAAGAAAATAAACAACAACAAAAATTCGAATATCAAAAAAAATACAGCAACGTATATTTGTCCGATTCAGTCATTTTATTCACCCTCATGATAAACGAACTATGAATTCATGCTGGAGGTGATGTTGGGAAGTTATTTGATACATTATTTATGTAAAACAATGATCAATTTGCATTTTATACATTTGTGTTCATGGAGGTTCAAGAACAATTTAAACTCTTGGTTTTGAATCTTTGGAGTTTTCATACAAAATATTGATGATTAAGATATACTAGTAAGCTTTAATAAGAATAATAAATTAATAATGCAAAGAAAATTAAAAAAAAAACGAAAATTAATTCACATTTAATCACTTTTTCTCATTGAGGTTTAAGCACACTTAAAACTATTGACTTTGAATCAATGAAGTTTCCATAAAAAATGGTGATGATTAAGATACTAATTAAGTGTAACAAGAATAATAATGCAAAGAAAATTAAATAAATAAAAAATTAATTCATATTTAATCACTTTACTTATGAAGGATCAAAACACTTAAACTCTTGATTTTAAATAAATAGATTTTCTATACAAAATGATAATAATTAAGGTACTAATTGATTGTAACAAGAATAATAAGACAAATAAAATTAAATAAACTTCCCAATGTGAGCAAGATGTTATACACCCTAGGTACGACGTCAATATGTCAACTCAAATTTGAGAGAAGCTATCCCATGATAAATAGTAAAAAAGGCTTTATTATCTCTCTATGTTGCAGAAAAAGTTGCCAAGTCCACTTGTGAAATGAAAATTATAATAAGAAAAACTGATACAGGTTATTTTGAGATACCAAATCTTTATTATACGCTATTATAGATATAAATGGAGAGATTTCAATTTTCAATTGGGATAAGTATTCTAATAGAACCATCAATGTGTGGGGAGGTGTCACGGAATTGAAAACCTATCTCTACGGTAAAGGAAGGAGGGCAAGTTTTGTGGTTACAGAGTCTAAGAAAAAGAGTATAAGTGATTTAAATCCCTATATGGTGATTGTGGTTCACTATTTAGCTTTTGACGACAGAGAGTTCTTCAATAAAAAAGGGTGTAAAGATTCAAGCATCAAATAATTTGGGTACGTTTTTCAATCACTATTTAGCTTGTGAGTAATTTTTGGTGTTATTTGTGAATGAAATGAGATTTTTTTATAGGATCTAGACATGATAGTTTAGGAATTATGAAAAAAAAAAAGCAAAGAGTGTGAGTGTCTTCAAGAAAATTATTTAAATACATAGTGAATAATGATATAATATCTACATTGAATAATCATGTAATATATGCATGGAATATTAATGTAATAAATGAGAGATATTTTGAACCTTTTAAAAACATTGATTTTTATTTTATGATTCATGAAAATGATTAATAAAGTTGAAATGGATGTTTTGATGATTAATCAAATGATCATGAATTTATTTTTCAAAATTCTTAATGAAAAAAATGCAATTTTAGTCACTTTCTTCAACACGTAAAATGCTGAATTTAAATTAACTTTTTCAGTATAATAAATATATGCATGATTATGGTGACTTTATTTAATGATAAAAATGTATATGGGTAAAAATGAAAAACATGACAAATGAACATTGTAGTGGTAAATTTGTGAGTGTAATCTATTGATTACCTTAATTCATAAAGCAAGAATCGTCACCGCCAGGGCCGGCCTTTCACAGGTGCAACAGGCTCTATGGAACTGGGCCCCAAAATTTTGGGGCCTATTTTTTTTTTTTTGAAATCTAATTAATATGAAAAAATTTAAAATATATATTATTTTGGAGACAGTAAAATATGAAGATTTGGTTGATGAATTTGCTTCAAAAAGTGTTAGGAGGAAGGCTCTTTTTAAGTAGTTAGAAACTTTATATTGTATAAAAAGATATTATTAGTTTAAACAATACTTTGAATTTTTAGTGTATTTTTTTATTATTAAATTATATATATATTTTAGATTTAGGCCTATTTATTAAATTAAAACAGGGCCTCCAGATTGATTGGGCCGGCCCTGGTCACCGCGCTTATATTTATCCATAGGAAAGGAAAAACAGAGAACAAAGCCTAAGAAGTTCTAAAACAAGAACAAATAGAGATAGGGTAAGAGGGTTGGTTATACAAATGTAAGGTGTTAGCATCCAAAACATCTATAGTAACTCTATATGAACCTCTTTGAAAAATCTACGCTTCTTGGTTTGAAAAAAGTTGCTTGAAATGAGATTGGGGAGATGAGAAAAGAAATTTTTTTTAAAGATTTTTGTATTTGGAGAGACTTCTTAAGCCTCATGCTTATTTACTCACAAAGTGCAATATAGGATCAAGACCTCGTAGTTCGTGGTCCAAATAACAAAATTGGTTTGTTTGGTTAATTTTAAATGAAGAGATAAGTTATCATTTTAAGGAGAAAACTACAACTAGTCACCCACAAGTAAAAGAAAACAATATTTGCATCACCTTGAGATGGAGGATTTTGCTTGGATTAAAATCAACAAGTCTATCACTCAATATCTAAGTGAAAAATTTCAACATCTTAAATACTATGGGGAATAGGAGAGTTACATCTCAACTATGAAAATGGTTCATGTCTAAACTTTATTAAAAATCTTTTGAATAGGAGAGTTACATCTTAAATACTAAGTGAAAAAGTTTTTGTATTTTTTAAGTCTTTTGAAATTAGTCAAAGTTTGCTTAACATTTATTAGTATTTATTAAAGAAAAAAATGTTTGAAAATTATTTGACAAAAATCAAGGTTTTTTAATGAAAGAGGTTATAGTTTGAAAACAAGAAGGTTTTGAAAAAAGAAGAAGATTTTGAAAATTTAAGAAAGGGAGGAGATGAAGAGACTATCCCAAAGCATAAAATAAAAGCCAAGGACAAATAAAGATCTAACCAAAAGAAGCTAGCAAGCCCCATGACACAAGTCAATCAATAATTCTCTCCTTTGGATTAAGCCTTAAGCAAGCCAGATAAGCAAATGAAAATTCAAACATCAAATAAAATCATAACAACCAAGATAGGTCTTCAAGAGAATCCTTAAGCAAAGGATACCAGATGAATTCAAACAAGTCCAATGTATACTTTCAAGCCAAGGTCAAGGTCCTACTTCTAAGTCTAAGGTCCAAATCCAAACACAAGGTCACAACAGTATGGGATTAAGAGAACCAAGTTTTTTTTTAAATGTTTTGATATTTATTAATGTTTTAAGAGAAAGTACAAATTGATTAAACGAAAAGAGCATAAGCATAAACAAGGGTCCAAGTGGACAAAGAGAAAAACAATATGATATAAGATGCTAAAATAAAAGCATTAAGTAAATTGCAAAAAGTAAATAACAAGATATAAATGGAAATTAAAGTAAAGATCAACAAAAGTTAGTAAATTAGAAATTAGGAAAGATAATTCAATTTTTAATTCTTCAAAGAATACTCAACTTGTCATCCATAAACATGAAAAACATGAACCTATACATCATTAAGAGAAAGACTCCAACTTGAATAAAATCAACAGGTATGCCACTAGCTCTCTTAGTGACAAAGAGACAATCTATTTCACACCATACTATAGAGAATAGGAGTCTGGCAATCTCACATATAAAAACGACTTGTTTCTAATTCGGAACCAATTTAGCTCTATGTTAAGCAATCGTAATTGGACTCATGGAGAAGTCACAACTATCTGAGGTTGGTCAATAACAACTTATGTGCTAATACAAGCTAGACAAATGACATATAAGTCATCCTCCTAAAGCTTACCACACTAAAAGGAAAATGAGGAGTGGTCTCATCTTAGTCAAAGACATCCATCAATGTCAAAGACAACCTATTACTACTCCAAAGTGAAGTGAGTGATCCAAATGATC